TGCATTCTGAACCATCATCTGGTGACTGGCATAGACAGTACAGTCTGTTTTGGTCTTTTGACTGCAACACTGTTGAAGCTTCTTTCTGACACTGACAAGTTTTGAAGCAGCTGTTGACATTTTGTTGGGAGGGGAAGGTGCTACGGAGACACCACACAGTTTTTGAAGACAGTGTTTTAAAAAGAATTTGTCTACTGTTAAACACACTCTCTGTACCAGATCTGTGTCTTTCTGCACACGTGTTACAATAAAACCTTTTCTTGTCCAAACAACACTTTTCTTGTCCAAACAACAAAGTCACAGTATTTAACACCAGACACATACATTTGTGTTTGCACCTGCAAGTGATACTTGTGTTTCTTCTTCAGACGGATTTCCTCATTGCTGAACTCCAAACAGAAAGATTTGTCCTTTTCTGCAGCAGTTGAAAAGTCAGCAGGATTGACATCCCTGTATTTGTATGGACACTTCACCTCTAGTACACCTTTGCCACAACACTCACATGACGCCCAGCCATCAGGACTGGCAGCAATGTGGGGTATGCAGGGTTTATCACTAAGCCTGCAGGCTGGCACTGAAAGTTCTTGTGAACACTAATCTGATGGTGAGAATAGGAATTCCTAGCGACTTCCTCATGAGTGACCCCCCACTCGGTTGCAGCACATTTTGCATGCTGTTTATTTTGTTGGTGGAAAATTGCCTGCATCACAGATGAACAACACTATGGATAATTGATGCTCCCCTCACGATGCACTGACCAGAGCTTACAAGCTGACTGCTGAGTGGTTGATTTTTCTAAAAAGTCACACTCCTCCTGAGTCACTTGGTATGCATTGTGGACATCCTTAATGGAAATGTTTGGGCCAGTAATTTTGATGCTTGTCAAAGGGGTTGGCAAATTAGGGTTGGTTTCAGGCTCCTGTTGAAACTGTGCACTATATTCTGGAACTGTTGACAAAATACTGACAACAACAGGAAGGTCATTTAGTTCCTTTAGGAATCTGTCAAACTCCTCTGGTGATGGCTTATGCTTGTCTGTATTTGCTTTCATTGGTGTTGTAGGAGTAGTTGGTACCTTGACCTTCCCTCTCTTTGGTTTCTTGAAATCAATGGTCACAATGGCCTCTGGATGAACCTGAAATAAAGATGTAAATTTTAAAATAAATTTACAAATGTAACAATCATAATCAATTTTAAGTGTCCCAGCACTCTTTTTATATCTCTGCAACAAAGGAGAGTTCCAATTTGTTTTGAATTTCCTTACTAGGAGATGCTAGCTGATTTACATAAGCAATTTTTTTAACATTGAAAACCGGGGAAATTAGATGGAAATTAAATTTTAAGGTCTTTAAAATTATTTGCCAGAATAAAACTTTTGAGACTTGGTATTAATCTTTGGATGAAGTGAGTGAATGGAAAATGAGCTTAAATAAGATGGCTGCGACATGTGAGCAAGTCTCTCCGAGTCTGAAAAGTTTTATTAATGTTTTAAACTCAACTAATCATACTTTTTTTTATCAATTTTACAATTGATCACTTAATTGTGCAATTAAATGTACAATTTTTAGATTATTATTATTTATATAATCTAATAAAATGACAAAATTATTCGTATACATATATATATATAAGCAATATTGAACGAATCTTTTAAAACATTTAAAGTAATTTACTGATTGAGCAGTAACATTTTAATGATTACTTCTGTACTTAGTACTTTTTTTCCTTATGAAATATATACTGTAGAGCAACGGAGGGTGTTATCGACAGGGGGGTAAAATCGACCCCCGGTTCTAATCATCTCGGTTTGGATCGATTACGAACCGTTTTTCAGACACTCTGTGTTTTTGATAGGTACACTTAACTTTTCGGAATCCATCGGAACCGTTCCATTCAGACAACACCGATTAATCAAATTTTCTGAACTTTTTTTCCAAAGAGAAGAATCGATCCTGTTTTTAGACCTCCCTTACGGGCCCCGATAAGACATGTTTGGCATTTCAAATTTTGATAACAATTTTTATCTGAAATATTTGTCACATAATGGTGTAATCAAACTTCACTCATGAAGCGTCTGCAACGTTTGTCAGCGTATTATCTACATCCGGGGTATTGTTAAGGTCGGAAATAGGGTTGTCGATAACTGCCGCAATTTGAGGATCGGAGGTAGTTATCGACAGTATGTGAAAAAAATACCAATTAATTTTTGTTTTATCCATTAAAAGCATATTTTTATGAATGACTTGTACTTCAAAGTTGCCTGTATGATTTCAATATATATATATCGTGAATTGTGAGAGGTGAGAACATGTACCCGACAACAATAGTGTTGCTAAAGTCTATCCACTAAACAGACATAACTTTACAAGCATAACTAAAATACTAAAATATCCAAATTTCTCAATAAAATCCATGTAGACAAGTCTTGTAAATATGCTCAATATAAACTGCAATTATCCTCGGGTTACCGGTTTCCGCGCACTTAAGAAGCATCCGCGATTTCGTACTCATATCGGCAGAAAACTGTTGAAATTACGGAAGACTGTCATAACATGTATACAATCTACTAAAGGAAACAAAAAACTAGCAACATAAAACTATATTTAAAAAAAAATCAGAACAAACAATTTTTAACAAATTTCTCCCGTCGGAAGTAGCCATCATATGTTTCCGTGTGTCTACTTTGATTTAGTGTTCAATGAAAGATAACTTGAATACACTTAAAAGAAGGTCTCTACAGTGACCTGCAAGAACAAAAGCTTCGTTTGGAATAACAAAAATATCTTTGATCGTCAAATTAATTATCAAAACATTTTTTTATAAATTTCACATTTTAACTTGATTTTTCAATATGTCAACTTGAACGAATTCATGCAATTTTATAAATTTATTTATTTTATTTATTTAGTTATAATATAGAATCTGTTATTATAATTTTCTGCAGTCTTATATCGGTTTTGGTTGATGGTAAGTTATTTCTCATTTTGTTCTGTTTAAAATTGGTGAAAATTGGAATTTCATTGCAGTACAAGGTTAACGTTTCAATACAAACAGTGTTAATCGATATAAGAATGTTTCCTTGGCTCTTCGGAAGTGGAAAAAATCGGCAAGGAGATGTGGCCTCATTTGCATACAACATTTTCGTACGTTTGTCAGACTACAAAAAAGACCGGTTCATGAATGAAATATATCGCCATTTTTTCAGGTATTGGCTCATTTTGAGCAAGATAAAAAGTGCATTAAGCAAAACTGCATATTCATGCATGTTTTTTTAATCAGTGATTATTTCTTATGTTTTCCAGACGATCTTCCGGTAACTTTTGTCATTTTACAGACGATGGCCAAACGTCTAAAATATCCTTGTGTTGTGTCCAGCAGGTCACATAGTTACGAGATATAGCTTAATAAAATGTCTGCGCGGAAATACATAACGCGCGGAAACTGGTGACTAGACGATACAAATTATGAAAAATATCAATATTTGAAGACACTGCAGTCATAATTTGTATAGACAGAATATATTGAAAAGTAGATCAAAAAGGCAGGAGGTATATAACTAATTATCTAGTGAACATTAAGAACCTAAAAACATTTCCACAATGATTATTTTAAGAAGATTCAATTATGTTTTCTTGAATTAAACTTCTGATCTCTATCATTGTAGGATAAAATGCATCATAATTTACAAAAATTTGGCTGTTGGAATGCATCACTGGGGATCAAAATAATATGAAATTAGGGTGGGACACCATATTGAAAAGGAACCAGAAAATGTGTTTGATCAAAATGCTGTGACGGTGACTGTTTGCGCGTGCATGCAGAAAAGGGAGCGTGTTTGTTTACATTTATGACTTGACATATCACTTGACATGTTTATACCTTTTTTAAGCAATTGGACACACAAACAAATGAATGTATTATGAGAGATTAATAATAGAAATAATTAACATTCTAATTTAGATGTCCATAACTACCTCCACCTGTCGATAACTGCCTGTCATTAATGCCACCAAAACAATGATTTCTCCCGCGATTCGTCACATGTACGCTTATTGCAGATGATGAAATAGAGTATGTTTCCCGACTTCTTCGAAATGCCATCATAAAATAACCTACGCAAAACGGTAAACTAGAAAAACAAGTTTGAAGCTTAGACTGTCGATAACTGCCTCCATTGCTCTACTAGTACTAAAACTTCATAAACTAAAGTAAAATATCAGTCTAATAATTCATAAATATCAATTTTATATAAGTATCTGTATAATACGGTTAATATTTATATAGGTACCAATTATTAAAAAAAAAAACATATTTACCCTGCCATGCATTTACAGTGGCCAGTCACAATGTTGCCATCTTTTTTGTTGGTGGCTACCCAAGCCTCACGCGGCGTTGTCCGACGATCTCTGTGAAGGGTTTATGCTCGCTTTAATGACACAAACGTTAGTGTTGACAGAAAAATGCATGCAGGTGCGCACAAAGCCACTGTTGAAATAGTTGTATGCTTCCAAACTTTTGTAAGTTTTGAGTTTATCTTTGGTAAACACACCAGGGGTGTCCAACGATCGGGGAATTATGTTGGGGGCCACACCTTACATTGTCTTTCCAATCTGTCACTGGAATTTCAAACCGCTGATCTGTATTAATTTAAGCTTCTCTGTGTACCTTTCTGATTATTCGATATCCAAACTTGAGCGGTAATTACTTGTTTTTGTCGATTGTTTACACCTGCTTATGGTCGTCGTTGCTTTATCCGATTCACAGTGAACTCTCAACTCGCGGAGTCGCCGAGACTCGCGAGTTGCCGTCCAGTGTGCGGCCCAGCAAATCGTGACGTCACGCGACACCCAAGATTCTTTTGACAGGCGCCGTGTCGCAGTCGGCAAAATCATATCCGATTGAAAAAAGGCCGACCAGCGGCCTCATGTTAGTCTATATAACGTTAGGAGTAGGCCTACCGGAGACTGGCCCGAGTTCGGTCGATAAAGTCTACCACATACCTGTATCATTGCTGCTTTACAATTTTGGATCAGGATAATTTCTTTTGATTTGTAGACATTAAAACAATAGGAAGTAGCGACTGTCATGGTTTAAATCCATTTCATTGCGACAGTCACATGTCTCGTTCTTCAGCTGACCAACTAACCTTGTTTTCGTTGACAGGAAATGATGAATTCGTTGTAGTAAACGACACGTGAATAATGAGTCCGGCAAACGGGAGGAATAATATAGGGGCGAAAAGGAATGTGGCACATTGCACCTCTGTAATTTTAATTCAGCCTTTTTAGCTTCGTATTTTTTGTTCCGAATGGAAAAAAGCAAGAATTTCCGATGTCGTTACGGTACTTTACATGAAGGATGATACATGATTACTTGCTCGGATTACCTGCTGCAGTTCAAGTACTACTTGTATTACGCTTTTATTGAAGAAAATGCGGAGTAAAACAGGTAAAAGTGTTTATAATTATATATATGCAAGTGAAAGCATTTGGTAATTGAAGCTTTTCTCTTATTTTGTTGCATTTATTTGAAAACGAAAGTAGAACACTTTACTTATATAAATCTGTTTATCATCAAAGATAAGTATTATACTTGTATTTACTATCTCAGACAGGTATTACACTTCTATTTATTATCAGACAGATATTACACTTGTATTTACTATCACATACAGGTTACACATGTATTTACTATCACAGACAGGTATAACACATGTATTTACTATCACAGACAGGTATTACACTTCTATTTAGTATCAGACAGATATTACACTTGTATTTACTATCACATACAGGTACACTTTGTATTACACTTGTATTTACTATCACAGACAGATACTTCACTTGTATTTATTACCAGACAGGTATTACAATTGTATTTAGTATCACAAACAGATATTACACATGTATTTACTATCACAGACAGGTGCTACACTTGTATTTACTATCACAGACAGGTTTACACATGTATTTACTATCACAGACAGGTTACACATGTGAGTACATTGATTGTACTTTAAGGTGGGTCCATCCTTCTCAAATTTAGCGCCACTGCGCAGGAAGCTGCGCATGTTGGCTAAATTTCAGTATGATTTACAGTAACCTAACGACACCACGCTTGGATTTAAAAACTGTTATCAAAAATTATTAACAGCAATTAAGAACGCCAAAAAAAATGAAAACTATCCAGTCCGACCATCTTTTATATTTAAATAATCGTATTTAATGTGATATTGAACTCTCGTAAATAAGAACGAAAGTCGTTTACCCCGGAAGTTTACTTTCGCAGCTGATGACAGCAATATGACAGCTGCTGAGGATGAAGTCTGAAAGTGAAAGAATGTGCTTTCCGTTGTTATTGCTCACTGATCTACATGTTGAATAGAACAGACGATAATCAGAGTTTATCATCACTTGAACGGAATAGGTAATTTCGTACGATGGAAGAATTATGACCGTTACCGTTACCCATCACACTGACTGCGACACTCTACTGAACAGCTGATCATGAAGGTCTCGACGTTGAACGTTT